TAACATTGTAGAACCAGCAAACAAAAAAGTCACAAGATTATTGATATATTACAAAAAATTAAGCAATTTTCAGTGAAATGACTATAATGAATTTAAAAAGGCAGATTGAGAACATACTTGTCAGTAAAAAAAGGTTAATATCTTTATTTGAAAAAAATCAATTCACACATATATTTCAGAGAACTCGATAAGGAAAATATTAAGATCTCATAAGATAAACAGGCAAAGAACACTACAGATATTTTTCAAACAATGAATCACATATTAAAAACAAATACTCAATCTTGTTTGCACTAAAAGAAATATAAACCAAAAAATGTTATTAAGCAATTGTAAAATGAAAACATCCCTTGCCAGTAAGGCAAGGGAAAACAGGGAGGGCTATACATGCTGTGCCAGCTATAGCCTTTTGGAAGCTGTTTGGCAGTCAAAAGCCATAAAAATTCTCCTATGTTTTGAATTGGTACCCAAACTTAATGTCTCTAATCTTAAGAAATAATTCAAAATATTGGGCAAAAGGATATTTGCTATAGCATTATTTGTAACGTTGGAAAACTAGACATCACATAAATGTTCAAAAAAGGTAATTCACTAGATAGCATAATGTGGTCAATTATTATTTTGAAATAATAATCCCAAAGACGATGTGGCAATATGAAGAAAACACCTGAATGTTTCACGTAAAAGGATATAACATATATGCACTACGATTAACTACAAATATTTATATTAAAAGGAACAAGATATCAAGACAATAATTTTTATGATAAAGTAAGAATTTTGATAATTTTTCCACTATTTTTGTTTGCTATTTTATTGCTCTTATAAATATAAGGTTTAAAATAATCCACGTTCTGCACAAGCTGACAAAGAGATGACCACGTGGGGAAGAAGCCAATGAGTCTGAGAGTTAAGACAGGTGCAGCAAGAAGTTAATCACTCCATTTTCACTTGTGGAAAACAATATTCTTTTGTGCAAAGCTTCTATAACTCATGTTCTCCCACGTGTGTAGCTATTTGTGTGGGGCCATGGAAACATGGTGTCTTAGAATAGGTGGTCTCAGAGATGAGCTTATTCCAAACTCCTAGTAATTCAAGAACCAGAATTGCAGCAAGCATTACAAGTAACTCTCCTCCTTCTGACTGACTGAATACTCCTGTAAATGGGGAGCTCACCACCTCACAAAGTGGCCTATTCAGCCTGTGCCTCTGAACCTCATAGAGAGCAGGGCTTCCTAGTAATCACTTCCTTCCATCTGGGATTTCAGGCCATTAATCACAAACTAAGGGACTGGAGTGAGACTGTACCATTCTTTCTAGCAATAGAAAAATATTAAGCTCAAAATAGGAGACTTCATGAAAAATATATTCTAGAAATGAGAATATAGGAACCTATGGTTATTCTGATTAGAAAAAAAATTATGAGTAAAGACAAATTCCTAAAGAACAGTGCTACCAATAGTTCTCTAAAGACTTTAGATTCTCATTTAAAAATTCTGATTAATTCTTCTGAATGTGGGAGGGAGAGCACCTCTTTTCAGAACTCATCCTTCTTATTCGAGCCTCTGGCCATTACTAACCCAGCAGAAGTGGAAGGCTGACAGATTGGTAAAGGAGGACTAGGCAGTTTCAGACACAGGCCAGTGGGACCCTTCATGGGTTTGCTGAACACACTGGTACTTCACAAGCCAAGAATCACTCCATTTCAGATGTGTTTCCTGTATTTCACAAGAAGAGTCTAAAAGTTTAATGTTTAAAAGGGCATGGAAAATCCACATTAAAAATGGAGAATGGTGCTTCAACCCCACCCACATTTCAAAGTGATAGTTTGCACAGCAGTAAAGGAGATTGGAGGAAGAGAGAGCTGTCTTGGGACAATGGCTCAAACAGCTTCTCTCCGAGCAGACACCAGGAAACACAGTGAGGGATGGGGAGGGAAGGGCTGTGAAAAGGCCAGCACGTGGCTGATCATCCCTCTGGGGGACCCATGGGACACAGGAGGGTGGCGAGTGAGAAGGCAGACTCCCAAGACGACACCGCCAGCCCAGGCAAAGCAGCTGGGTGGGAAGTGGAAGTGCCTCACTCTTCTCTTAGTCATGGATTGAAAAAAGTATAAAAAATATTGGGGTGAGTACTTTTTGGATTTGTTCTAGAGCAGAAAGTTGGAATTCCCTGCAGCATATAACAAGACTATGATAGTTCATAGTTTATGGGTTAAAAATGATATGAGGGTCTTTGATATACATGATTAGTCACCCAAAGTGGCTGGAGTGAGGGGTTAAGATTTAAGAAGATCTGATCCTTCTGCTACTCCCTTAGTAAAACCAGTACATGCTCAGTTGCTGGGTTCCTGAATGGACTGTCTGTGGGTGAGAGCAGAGTTGGGCCCCCAGCTCAGAGAGCAAAGTACAGGCCCATCCCAACCACTGGATTGTCTATGCTTGGGTCCCCTTTCTGATCTAAGCCCCTACTTGAATCACAGGGAAGGATACTGAGTCTCTCAGAGGACTGACAGCCAAACCAAGGCTTGACAAAGCCAGCCTCTCTTCCCCTGCTGTCTGGAAAGGTACTGCTCACTGCCCCACCCCTGTCCCCCAACCTCAGCAGTGCTCTAAGATTTTCCACTGTTGATCATGTGTGCAGAGAATGCCAGTGGCTTTCATGGTGACCAAGCTTTGCTGAGGAGGATCAACACTTTCTCATGACCAAAAACAATGTCTCTTGAGAAACAGCTGTCAGACATTCTCTCAGACTATGACCAACTCATCATGTGCCTTTCCTATTATTGACAGTTGCCTTAGATCCAGCAAGGAACATCACAGCAGCCATGCCCCAGGCGAGGTGTTCACTCACCACTGGAAATCACAGTCCTGCTCTATGTAGTCATGAATTTTAATATGCTAACAGCATTAAGCTGGCCAAGAAAAAATAAATGGATTTGGTTTAGCATTTGGTGCCAAGCAATACACAGCTGATTGACTGAGCTCACAGACAACACTGGAATCACCTGGTTATTTCTTGCCTCTCCATTTACTTCTTCCTCAGGCAGGCACAGAGATTGATGATGTTGGCCAGGCCATGTGGGGAGATGGGGAAATTACTTACAGTTCTGACCAGGGAGCTGCACCCTGCAGAACAGCCTTGGGTTTGTTGACTCACCAAACTGGACAGTTAGTGTTAACACAGCTGTGATGGATGCAGAAAACAGGGTGGCTTTGCTGCCCCTAAGTGGTGAGACAGAGGGATGTGAGGAGAGGGGCACAGGGGCAGGCAGGAGAATGGCCAGTGTTTGCAGGCCTATGGTAACAGCTGCTAAATGAAAATTACTAGAGACACTCATAGTAACTAGTATAGATCTTACCAGAGATCTGAACTAGAAAGGGAAATGGTAAAGTTTTATTTAGGACACTCCAAGAATGAGCTGAGTATGGTGGAAAGTCCAACTCAATTCTCAACTAGTAAGAGAGAGCAAAATGTCTTGATACACTTCCCATGCTTATTCATCCTGTGTTATATAACTGGGGTTCAAAACTAGTATGGAAAACCTCAAAGAAAAATGTTAATGAATGAGGAAATGGCAAAAGAAAGAAAAATATTTTCTCAACAAGAACAAATATTCATTGAGCACCTATGATGTGCTGGGCACTGCGTTGGGGCTGAGTACTGAGTGGACAACAGGCTGGCTCCTGGCAGCTGGTCCAGAGATGAAGGCAGGCACAGCACCAGGAGAACTGGGGCATTCGGAAGTGGGAGCTCCACTGTTTGCAGATTCTGTCTCTGTGGACCTTTCCTTGGCGTCTCCTCCTGAAGACAGTGGTCTTTATCACCTACTGCTTTACCTATGCTCTCAGCTCCTGTTTGTGTGTGTATTACTGGACTCTACCCTTGGAGAGTGATTTTGTCTGAATGGAGAAGAAATCTGTATTTTTTCCTAGGTTCTCTCGGTAGTTCTAGTGATGAGTTGGGTCTGGAACACTGCCTCGGTGGACCTAGGTTAGAAAACTGCCAGGTGGTACCACATCCACTCTGAGAAGGCACAGTCTGTTTTTACGCTGGCTTAGTGACTGAATTCTGAAATGACTATATCTTATTCATCTCCCTTTCCTTGGTGTTAGCAGAAAGGGTGCACAACAAGTATCTGTTGTTGGATGAGGGAACTCAATGATTCTCACGTATTTCTGAACACTGCTCTTAGGGATAAAATAGGGGTAGGGTTACGAGAAGCAGATTATCAAAGCAGAGATGGCAGAAACCACCATCCTGCTGGGGTGACAAGAGCATTCACTGAAGCCACTGATATAGTCTGGTGCTGTGACAGAGCTGGTGTCTGGGATCCAGCGTGAGACCTGCTCTAGCTTTTGGGGGGAGCATCCATTTGTCCCATTTTCTTAAGTTCACTGTCTCACTTATAAGTAGCAAATGTGAGGGATAAAAAGCATCTCTGTGGGACTTGCAGGAAGATATCCAGGATTCTCAGACATGCCTTTATGCTCTTAAAAGCAAAACCTTTGTGCTCCCTGAAATGTTACTTCTTTAATAGGGCTACTGTTTTTGTGTTTTTTAATCTGTCCCACTGCCTATTTTTAAGAAATGTCTATAATAAAGCCACATTTTCAGAGACTATGAAATAACCCTAATTTGAAGACAGTAGTTACAAGCAAAAAAAATATATATTGTGAAATTCTGTATATCACTTGAAACATTAAAGCAACAAAATACTCTCTCTTCCTAATGGTTTCACCATTTAAAGCTTTTACACCCTGTAATTTTAAGAACATACATGTGCTTCTGTTAGGAATTGCATGGGGTGAGGGAGGGAATACACTGCCGGCTGGAAACAGCAGCCTGTGAATGAGGCCTGAATACCTGTGGCTTTTTCCTCTGGATTCAAATTCTAAAACCAGTGAAGGTCTACTGCCATCTCGTGGCATTGTAAGATGCTCACAAGAGCCATGATCTGCTCGGATTATATAAACAAACAAAATCCACACAGAGATTGCTTACCTGGAAAAAGATTAGAAAAAAAATTCTTGCTTTTTTTTTTATTCAAAAGGATCACATGTTTCACATCAATTTACTTTCAAAAAGACCTCAGGTCTTAAAACTAAGGGTACCATGACATTTATTTTGCCATCTGTGTGACAGTTTCACATCAAAAAAGCCTCAACATAAAAAATTACCTTCAAAACCCATTGGAACATTCTCACATAAACTAGGATATTTCACAAACAATAAAGTCCTTTCTTCAATATTCAATCTTTTCAATTTCATCCATGTCTTCAGGGTCAAGCTGCTTAATACTGCTGTCTAAAAGAACAAAAGAGAATGGAACCAGTCTTACTCCAGGGCCTAAATGCAACTTCATTCCATCCAACTCTGAATTTCTGAAGACACTGACACCTTGTATGGAAAGCCTTGAGACAGGAACACACAGAAAGGATGGTACCAAAATATCCAACTAATACTAACTAAAGCAGTGGCAAGGGTACCAGACTGAAGAACATACATATCCAGACACCCTGGGGCAGAAAAGGGCCTAGGGAAGACACTCCTCCATGCAGTCACCACAGCAACAGCGGCTGTAATGCTACCTCCTCAGTTAGCCTGATGCAGGGGCACTTAACCTACTTCCCTAAGTGTAGGTGGATGTGCTAGATCAGTCTGAAGTCTCAAACTTTTAAATCTTATATTCCATATATGTGCCTATGGGCATTTCCCTGGGGAGAGTGCCCACTGCTTCCCACAGAGGCTAAAGACCACCGTCCTAGAAGGTAAAACACTTCCTCCTCCCCTGCTCCCCAGCCACATCCATGGGCTTTGGAGTATGGGGTAATTTGAGGAGTGGATATCCCAGTCACAGGACCCTTCGTGTTTCTGGCAGTTCAATCTGCCAGTCCAGAGTTGCAACAGGCCAACATCAGAGACCAGCTTGTTTAGAGGTGGCTGGAAGAAAGGCAGCAGACCTCAGAATTTAGGACTATTCTATCTGGGAGGGTAGAATAAGAGTTGGGAAAAGCATAAATAAAAGAGGAAGCTGGGGACAGAAGCTAATCTTATAGGACTTAATTACTCTGCTTAGGGTACTTCCTTATAGGATGTGAAAATCTGCTCCAGATTCCAGAATAAGCTATAACAAATAAATCTGAGCTCATATTAATTCCACTTGATTTTTAAATTTTTCTTTAACTGCTATATAATCACCTGTCTCATATTATAACCCTGGTCCTGTAAGTTAGACGCTGTCCACACCCTGGCTTCTGCCTCCACACTCTCACGAGCCTCTGGACTCAAGCTCCCATACACACATCATCGCTGTCAGCATCAGCAGGTCTACAGTTCATACTGCCAGAGCGGTGCTACTTACTAAAGTGGTCCTGGATCTTCATGAGCAGGGGCAGCTTATCCACTTCAATCATGTTGAAGGCAAGGCCTTTTTTCCCAAAGCGTCCTGTCCGCCCTATGCGGTGGAGGTAGGTCTCATAGTCTGGCTCCTGTGCTTGGTTTACAGGGAGATCAAAGTTCACAACAATTGTCACCTGCTTCACATCAATCCCTAGAAGAGGAAAAACATTGTAGGGTCCCACAACATTTTCCTTAAGACATCTGCTGAGGGAACTGTCATTAATACAGACAATTTATAAATCAAACCTGGGTTTATGTAATCGAAACAGGTATGTTGGTCAGGCAGTTTACCAGCATACTGTGATGTCTATGGTGCTAGAGAAAAGTGTCAATACAGGCTAATTCTACAGAGGTCTAAATATGTACACAGAATGTGCATGTGTGTGTGTGTGGTGAAGAGGTGTTCACACCAAGCCCACAGAGCTAGGTCCCCACAGGCCCTTAGTTGTGTGTCCCCCCAGCCATCACAGGGCCCTGGCTCTGTGCCATTCCAAGCCTACTGTTCTAGTCAGGTCTTTTTATTCTTTCCCTTGCTTCAGTGGTTGTAACAATTTCCAGACTGGCTTTCCCTCTACCTCTTCTCCCCTTCCTCACATCTCTCCACAGTGGTCAGCACAGCCATGCCCAGGATACTTGTGTTCAGAACCCATTGCCCAATGCATGAAGCACAAGCAATGCAATACCTTATGTCACATAAAGTCTCATCTCTTTCTCTCCTGACTCACAAATACAGCACTTCAATCCTACAGTCTGGCCATTTCCCAAACAAAATATAATTACTGTTCAACAGAATTGCCACTCTCCCTTCAAATCTAATATTGCTCAGGAAGACCTCTGGAACCTTAGTGCCTCTCCTTACCCAACATGAACAAGCTGTCTGGGACCCGGTCCTTGTCCTCTCTGCACTGTGCCTTGACTCTGGACCTCTTTGTGTCCTCTTTCCTGTAGGGTCTAGAGCTGTGCTACCCAGTATGGTAACCATTAGCCACATGTGGCTATTTAAATTTAGTTAAAATTAAAGATTCTGTTCCTCAATCACACTAGCCACACTTGAAGTGTTCTGCAAGCTATCCATGGCTAGTGGCTACCAACGAGATAGCAGAGAATAGAACATTTCGCTCACTGCAGAAAGTTCTGTTGGGTCCTGCCAATCCAGTGGGGCAAGGGTCTAGGTGGTGAGCTCTGGAGGGCAGGGACCTCATTCTTTCTCAGGATGCCCTTCTCAAGTGTAGTACTCAGCACTCACTTCAAATACCACAGCCTCTCAGCTCTATTTGCCGAACTAAGAATGAACTAGGAAACATTTTTTGAGTATAGGGGTCTAAGCATATAAGCAAGGATAAGAGGAGGGACAAAGAAAGTAGGAAGGCCTTTGTCTTGAAAAAAATAAAGGTTTTTTTTTCTCCCTAGACCTTAGAGATGCTCAACATTAGTAGGGAAATGCAAATTAAAACTACAATGAGATACTACTGCGTATCTACTAGAACAGTTAAAATTAGAAAGAGTGACAATAACAACTGCTAGCAAGAACGCAGAGCAGCTAGATTTCTCCTACACTGCTGGTGGGAATGCAAAATGGTACAGCCACTATGGAAAAAGTTTTGTAGCTTCTTATAATGCTAAATATACACTTACAATATGATCCAACAATTCCACTCCTAGGTATTTACCCAAGAAAAATAAAATCATATATCTACATAAAGGCCTACACATGAATTTTTATTACAGCTTTATTTAGAACAGTTCCAAATTGAAAGCAATCCAAATGCCCATCAACTGGGGAATGGATGAGCTATCAACGGAATATTATTAGCAATAAAAAGGAACGAACTACTGACACATGTAGTAGCACTGATGAAACTCAAAAGACTGTGGTACAGACATGAAGGCTGTCTACTGTGGAAGTTATGTGGCATTCCGGAGGACACAAAAATATACAAACAGTAGTTGCCAGAGGCCATGTGATGTGTGCAGGGGAGACTAACTTCAAAGGAAAACAAGGGAGATGGAGATGTGCTGTGTTCTGGTGACGGTGATGGTTATATAACTATATATGTTTGTCAAAACTCACCAACTGTATACTTAAAAAAGAGTGAATTTGGTCAGATGTAAATTATACCTAAACACCTGACTTTAAATACACATACCTCGAGCACAAACATTGGTTGTGATAAGAACCTTCTCTTTTCCATCTCGAAACCTCTGAATGATGGAAGCTCGCTGCTCCACGGTCAGCTCCCCGCTCAATAAAGACACCTGGTGGCCATCTTGCATCATCTCCACAGTCAACCACTTGGCATTTCGACGAGTCTGCATGAAAAAGCAAAAGCCACCCACAGCACCCCAGGTTAAAGCTGCCTGCCTGCTGTGCTCGTGCTATATTTAAGATGCTCACACATGCAGGGTAAGGGGAAGAGGGAGAGGGCTGCAGAGGAGTCTTGTTCACCTCCCCTTCAGTCTTCAAGGGCCTCAGAATGTGGCATGGAATTTTCCCCCTGCTGTGCTTCTAAGGCCATATCCTCTCAGCCAGCCAGAGCCTTGGCTTTCTCACCATGCAATGGAGACAAACATGCTCCACCTACCTCACATGGTGCTATAGTGACAAAATGATATAATGCAAAAATGACAGCAACAGACACACCAGAGTGCCTCCTATGTGCCAGGCATCTGGTTGGAATCTTTACATGCACTATGGTCATGTGCTTTCACAACAATTTAACGAAGTAGCTACCTAATTTCATTTAAAAAATTTAAAGACAGACAACCCTCCCCTAAAAGCTTAAAAATGTTAAGTAACTTGCCCAAAGTTACATGGTTAGCCAGTGGCAGAGCTGTGCTTTCTTTTATTCTACAGCTATGTTTTCAGTGCTATTTATGTGCCAGACAGGTGCTGGTCTGGAGCAGTGGATATGGGAGTGAGGGAGATGGATGAGACCCTGCTCTCGTGAAGCTTAGAATGTTCACATGGTAATGAGAAAATAAAACAATACACGAACATGAAACATGTCAGATAGCAAAAAAACAAATATGAAAATTAAAATAGAGCGCTATTAATAGCAAGTAACACCTTTAACCTGGTAAAGGGTACCAGTAAAAACTACAATAAACATTAATCTAAATGCAGAAGTGTTAGAAGCAGTCTCTCCAAAATGAGAAGGCCTGCTGTTTAATATCATAGTGAAGATCCTACTTCATTACCGAATATTTCTAAGTTTTACACATAAAATACAGATAATTTCTATTCTGAGTAGCTCTGAAGATTAAACTAGGTAATACACAAAAAGTGCTGAACATGGTACCTAGCTACGTGGCACTTACTGATGTTATTGCCCCTCAACTCCACCTCTAGGGAAATGTGGGCATGACGAAGACAAATCCACAGTTTACCTGACAGAAGATGATGGCCTGACCAATGGTGATGCCACCATAAATGTTGCACAGAGCTTGGTATTTGTCTTTCCTGTTCTCGCACAACACGTAATACTGCCGGATGTTGTTCAGGGTTAGCTCCTCTTTGCGTAACTTGATGACATTAGGGTCGGGAATGATTCGCTCGGCAAATTGCCATACAGAGTCCTCAAAGGTTGCTGAAAAGAGGAGCATCTGGCATTCGGTGGGTAAAGCTCTGTAAGAGAGGAGGGAAGGCCATCACTGGCTGCCATCTTGTCACTCTCCTTTAAGCACTTTATGCCACTGCCATCAGCTGCTCCATGGTCACCTGCTACACCTCCACTAGGGGAGCTGAGTGTCCTGCCCCTCCTTGCCATCAAGAATTTGGAAACATACAAAACCGGAACGTGGAGCTCAGAGGAAAGTTTGGGACATATTCTGGAGGGTCTGAGGTTTCTCGTGCCAGTTTCCTCCTTAGGGGAGGCAGACTATGCAGCCATGGGGGAATCTAGGTGCTCTTCATGGTTACAATCCCACGCACAGGTAAATGGGGATGAAGGAAACAGTTGTTCCATGGCAGATGTTATATATCTTGGGAGGAGAACAACAGCCACAACTAACTTTATTTAGAATGGGAAGAACCAAGATATAAATAAAAGGGGAGCAAAATGGGAAAGTGTATTAACCACAATGTACACTGAACCCATAATGAATACAAGGCTAATGTACATCTAGTTCAAAATCAGGTGAAATCAGTAAGTGGAAGTAGTCCAGAGGTTAATCCTGGAGAAAAGAGAGAGGCTAGTGATAGGAAGGGGGCTATAAGGGAATGCTGGGTGTGGGTAAGTAAAGTTCTATTACTCTGTCTGGGCTGTTGTTACATAAGCATGGCCTTTTGTGATATAATTCACTCAGTGCATATTTATATTATTCATGTATTTCTCTGTATATATTTCATACATCAATAAAAGATAAATTTTTAAAACAAAATAAACAGAGACCAGAGAGAAATCAGCTCTTTTGAGAAGAAGACAGAGCACTTTGAAGAATAAACTGTTAGTACTAAAAGGGAGTGAGAGAGATCACAGAGTGCAGTGATTCCCAAACATTATTTTAAGCCAGGGGCCTCAATCATCCTGGGAGCTTTTAAAAACAATAATCTGACAGACTTCCGGTCAACTATGGCAGCCTGTCTACATGTGCTACCACTTCAACTGCCCACATCCCACTAATACGATCAAAAGAGATATCAATCCACAAAAACATGGATAATAGGTGAGGAGAAACTGGTAAACAAGATATTTTTAATACACCTTTACAAGATGAAAAGGGGTGGTAAGGGAGAAGGTAGATGCAGCTACAACATGAGAACCACTAAGAGGTCTAGGACCTGCAAGCTCCAGGGACCAGAGAACTAGGGGGAAAGAACTGAAAATGGGGCACATGTTAGAAGACACTAGGAAAATTCTGCATTTGTATGCTGGGGTCTCTTGGCCATCTGCTGTGTTACGATCCTGCATCTGGAGAAAGCTGGCATGAGGACTGGTATCCTAAGGCCTGGGCCATCTCTTTCTATACAGAAAGTTTATATAAATTACACAAGCAGAAGAAACTATGGGCTGTTCTGTAGTACACACTGGATTTTGAAGACTTAGTATTAAAAAATGTAAAATATCTCATAATTATTGTTATATCATTTGTTGAAATATTTTAATACAATGAATATTAATTTAATCTGTTTTTTTAAAAAGTATCAGAAAATTGAAAATTATACATGTGGCTTGCATTATATTTCTATTGGACATCACTGGTTTAACCATTTTTAAGCAAAAGGAAGGAAAACTGAACAATGGAGGACTGAACAGACAACATAAACATTCTATATAATTATTACTTAATATTCTTGAGTAGAAAATGAAAGATCTTTTGATGCCTATAGTATTAAAAAAAAGAAAATAAAAGGAACTTTATTACAAAGCTCTTTTGTTTTTGAGACAGATTCTCACTCTGTCACTGGGTTACAGTGTTGTGGCGTCAGCCTAGCTCACAGCAACCTCAAACTCCTGGGCTCCAGTGATCCTTCTGCCTCATCCTCTCGAGTAGCTGGGACTACAGGCATGCACCACCAATGCCTGCCTAATTTTTTCTATATATTTTTAGTTGTCCAGCTAATTTCTTTCTATTTTTAGTACAGACTGAGTCTCCCTCTTGCTCAGGCTGGTCTTGAACTCCTGAGCTCAAACGATCCACCCACCTCAGCCTCCCAGAGTGCTAGGATTACAGGTGTGAGCCACTGCGCCCAGCCACAAAGCTCTTTTTGACTACATCTTTCCTGGAGTTCTGAATCTTTCATTTGCTGTTATACATAAACATAGCAACTTATTGGTAGGAGATGACAAGAAGGGAATCTCCCTTGAACTCTGTTCCAAATTATTTTAAATAGGAAGACCAATGAAAAATATGTATAAGGAACAGTTGGATCCTTCTACATTAGGCAGTTAAGCATGTACAAGCAGAAGACTAGAGGTTTATTCTGTGCAGAAATTCCAGACTTGGGGATACCAGCCTCAAAAGAAGGTAGGGGCAAAGCATATAGATGAAAAGAGGGGATTTGAGTGAACATGCATACTGAATGGCAGAACCCTTTCAGCCCACTCCCTCATCATCCTCCCAGAATGTCAGCAACCAAGGGTCTCTCTCTCTCCCAGGAAGGAGATCAGAGACATTACATAGTCCTCCAGATAAAAACATCCTAAAGTGAAGTTTCCCAAGTTACAAGCCCCAGCCATGCACACAGAGCTATCAGTTAGAATTTTAGCTTCTCATCCTAGATTATGAAAAGCTAGCCAAGTATCACCAGATATGAAGGGGAAAGGTCTGCTGTGAAAGACATGTAGCAAACAAATAGAACAGGAAACTTGGATAATTAGCTTGGCCATACCACACAAATGGATATGCACTGGTATTGTCCCTTGATATCTCTAAGAAACTGAATATAGTTACATTTCCTGGTTCAGAGGTTGCAAGTAAAATGCCCTGTGGGTGAATAAATAGGGAAATTTTGATAACAGATATCTCACCTTTTTAGTGTATAGCTGATTCTACTGAATCTTACCAATGACCGTGCTGTCAACAGTCTGTTAAGCAATATGTCAAATCACAGCAACAACCAAAAAATTCCCCCTAGCTCTTAGATATTTTGATTTATAAAATGAAGCTTCAAAATATCTTTTGACTTTTATGAAGTTAAAATAAAACACAGAAAATATACAAGATTGTTCATGTCTTATCCAAATACAAACTAGTCTTTACTCAACTCTCTGCATATGCAGCAGACAGTCCAAATACAAATTCTGGCAAATTCCACTGTCCACACTCTTCTTATTAAAGAAAACGAAAAGATCTTTCAGCTAAATGTCCTGTACACTTTGTAAACAACACTTCTAAAAAGGGGTAGGATCTGCTTACCCCTTTTAAAAATGCTAGAAGTTTAAAAATGCTAGATGTTTTAGACATAGTCTATATGATGAATTTATAGATGCAAGAGATATTCAGCCTTTCAATATCAAAGTTTTTGTCTATTTTTCAGTTTCCTTAAAACTTACAGAAGCACTCAAAAATATTTTTAGCTATATATTATAGAAATGGAAGGAGATGGCTTCCTTAGACATATGCCTATAGTGTGGCCATCATTGTTGCTGGTCATTAAAAAGATTTAAAATGTTGGCCTACCATAAAATCATATTTTCAAAATGTGAGAAAAAAAAGAATGTCCTTCTCCAAATTGGAAATACACTGTGATGAGAATGGAGAAACGACTATAAAAAAGCATAAATGACATGCTGTTTCTCCAAAACTGAATGATGACCTCTGAAGAGGCCATAAAGAATCAAGAAAAAAAGAAAGAATGGACAGGCTGCATCCAAGTTGTTTGGTGCTATGTATGTATAGGGCATGACAAAAACTCACATAGCAAGAAAATGACTTTTTTTTCCCCTTAAAAAAAAAAAAAAAGAGTGAATCAAGATGGCGGACAAGAAACACCCCAAGACAGAGTATCTCTGCAGAAAGGACAGATTCTAGCAGAAATTAGAAGAAAGAAGCAAGAAGTTGAGCATACATCGAACGAGGGTTGAAAGGAAGGGTACCTGAGACCATGGGAAATTCCATGGGAGGAGGTTGCGGAGAGGAACTGGAAGCTGAGACCGCCGGAGCAGCCCGGAGACCAGCGGGAAGGGTAGGTGGATGGGCCAAGTTTCCCCTATCCTGCATCTCGGACTGCTTGTGGGCTCCCCAGCGGGTGGAGAGACCTGCGGACACCAGCCCAGTGACGGCTGATGCCACTGAATGGTAAGCCAGTAGCGCACGCGGCACCAGGCTCCCAAATCCCTTGGGCACCTCTGTGTGCACAGACCCGAGCTGCGCGGCAGGCACCATATTGCCTCCTTCTCCCCTCTTCCGACCCTACCCGCGGCTGCCCAGAGAGACAATATAGCCACCACCCGGAGGCACCTCCATGGAACAGGACCTTCCCTTTGGGGCCCTACAGCTGACTAAGGGGAACTAATATTGTGAGCTCCCTACCCGCCAGCCCTCCCAGGTGCTGCTGGCACAGTGATCCCAGGAAAACGGGGTAGACCCTGAGGCTGAGAGGCATACACCCAACTTGAGCTCCCTGTGGGTGAACTGGGACTGGCACTCCTCTCCCTGCTGGGGATATAGGTTGAACTCTGGGGCCCAGAGGTCAGACCTGCAGACCAGATCCCGTGCACCCAGGTTTCCCATTGCCCGGGGCACAGAAGGGATATATGTGAACAGCCTACTGAGGCGTGTGTACCTTCAGGGGCAGATCAGCGTCCTAGAGAGCAACCCTCCTCCCAAAGGGAGGCCGTGAGCCCAGCCCAGGTGGCATTCCTGCCTAGGGAACCTCCCTGCTAGAATCACAGTCAGGGGAGGCCTGGTGGCGTGTGGTCTGGCCTGCTAACAGAGGCCCAGGAGTAGCTGCAGAGTTGGGAAGGATGGAAAGACGCGAGGCCCGCTCCAGACTGCGGGTCTCACACAGCCCCACCCCACACGTACACTTTCTGACTGAGCGGGGCCATTCCAGCCCCTCCCTGACAGCTTTTCCTGGAAGCAGAGAACAAAACTTTGACCCCTGCTAACAATATTGGTGGTGCCTGAGGGCAGGCTTACCCAACCCAGCTCCGCCCAGACTCTCTCCTAGACCAGCCCTCA